TACTGAATACAGCATGATGCTTATGCTGTATATTATGGCCCTGGTTCAGATTGGATGGAGATAGTCAAATTGGGATGATAAAGGAGGGCGGACTTACCTTGTCCAGAGTCCAGTGTTTCTCACACATAGGGTGGCTTAACACTGGGCGATTCATACCGTGAACAAGCATGTTTGATCCCTGCATTTTAAGGATTCGGGCATACACGCCCCCAGCACAGATCTTCATCAAAGTTTCTTTTAGTAGCTTACAAATATGTGGAAGGCCAGTGTGTCACCACTTCTCTATTTAAGCCACAAAATGCATGAAATTGTTGACCTCATTGTGCTTTTTAAGCACCTCAAAAGATACTGAGACAAAGTGAACTGTATTCCAGATACACACCGACACTCGGATATATTTCCAGCCACCCAAGCCATGTATTTTTTTATTTTCATGACAGAAGCTAGGGCTGCACGATTAATCGTTAGAAAATCGCGATCTCGATTCATACTTATGTGCGATCTCATTTCCAAATGACAACGATTGTATCGCATTTTGATCCGGGACGTAATCTGCATGAAAACAAGCGCTCACTCTTCCTGCTCAACAAATGACAAGGGCGGAGCCTTATACCACGTGATACAGAAGCTGTGGCGTGTGATGCTAAAATTAGCAGGGAAAAAACAACGGAGAGCACGTCAGGGATGACAAGAAAGTGACAGGAGAAAATCCGTCCCGGTCAACCACCCAAACATCAATAACGGGAACCTTATACAGCGCTTCCCTATACCCGTCGAACTCCCGCAGGCACAAAGAAATTACGGAGGCTATTACTTATCACCTGACCAAAGATATGGCTCCATCAACACTGTGCAAAACGAGGGATTTAGGAAAATGATCAACACCCTAGACAAACGCTACACAGTGCCGTCCCGTAACTATTTTTCTATTGTTGCTCTACCTGCTCTATACGCGCAACGGTGGAGACGGAATTTCAAGCAGTACAACATTTTGCGGCAACGACAAAATGTGAGACATTTGTTGTTTTTATGTTTATTTATTGTTTCTATGTCTCAACTGTTACGAAGTTGACGTGCAGTTTAATAAGCGCAATAAATATTTATATTGGAAAAGAAAATCGTGAGAGAATCGTGATCTCAATTCTAAGCAAAAGCATCGTGATTCTCATTTTATGCAAAATCGTGCAGCCCTAACAGAAGCTATCTGTTTTGACATGAAACAATCCCCTCGTTCAGATTTTCAATGTTCAGTCACTGCTAATTAGCCATCTCTGGCCTGTCCTGACTCCCGTTTCCTCTGGGTGGGCTATTCAGATCACTGTTGAGTCAATCCCCAGAGACCCTAATCTTGTGCCTGAGCAGACTCCAACTCCACAGTCTTGGACTCCAGCTTGCATGTTTGTTCTGGTGTGACGATGGCTGCGAGTGCTGGAGGGTCATTCTAACCAGAACCTGCAGCAGATGGAGAAGTGGTTCATGTGTCACTACGATGAGCTCACCAAGGCTGCGGAACAGGACTGCTGTCTCACACTGCACTTCAAGACCTTGAAGTTTGAGCTCACTAACTGATAGTTCCTCCATTATGTAGAGAGTTCATTATTATTATTATTAGAGTGGAAAATATTAAATTTATTGGCATGTCTTGTTTCATGCACCCCAGTCCCATGTCTCAGTTTTCACCACAAATACAGACTAATTGTGTAGGAAATACACGTCTGGTTTGACATCTCTGTAGCTACATCCACCTTTTATATATACTCTGTAATGTAAGTGAAATCACTGTCTTAAGTTAAGAAAAAAGGAAATATCTTGTCAAAGACTAAACAAACCTTAGATCCAGATTAGATGTTTGATTCTGACTTCTAGTGCCACTGACATCGATTCGGTCAATAACCAGCCCTAAATATGAACATTGGTGATGTAAAGATATGGAGATATTCTCCTTATTTAAATTCTTATTCTGTACATTCTTTCAATGCCTCTCCAACTCCTAAATAAAATGATGTATGACTTTATGCAGATCATATATCAGTGTAATTCCATTAATACGTGCCCTGAGTTTTTACAAACACATTTGCAGTGCGGTGGTTGACAGCATAAACTCATTTAAAGGCTCCCTGTGAAGTTCCTTGCAGGCACACAGAATGTGAGTAATGAAGGCTGAATATTCAGAGATCACCCCCACAGTCGGGAGTAGCACAGTAAATCTGTGCAGCTGATCTAGATGGAACAATGTCAAAGACTGAAGTAAGTCATTGATTAGGTGTGTTGCCAGCTCGGGCTCAAGAAAGGCCTTCAGTGCACATCATTCTAATGTTCTCGCTCTGCAACACCCTGCAAGTCAAAGTGACAGTTGACAGCTCATTTAATGCCAGGAGGAAATCCTGCTGTTCCCTCTGAGAACCTTTCTGTTATTCTCTTGTCATTATTCACACCTTTCAGCCAATATGAAGTGTGAGCTTTCAGCAGCTGGTGTGTAAAGAATGTGATTATTAGAGGAGCGTTGTGTGTGTTGTTTTTCCTACTGCACCGTTTTCCATTTGTTGTAAAATCTTTGGGGCTCACTTTTGTCTCTAACATCTTTTACCATCTGAGAACAGTTTAAATGCGATGATCTGAATGTCAAGAGGCAGATATGGTCAGATCTGACTAATGGTTTTCAAAAGTGTCTACTTAATAAAATGATGAGGAACACTGAGTTGTTAATAATCTGTCACTTCTATATGCCATTTACCTCAACAAGGCACATGATGATGCAAATGTAGGTGGGATTTTTCTGTAACGCCCCTGCCCAGATGGGCTTATCAACAGACAAATCTGAAATATATGAGCGCTCAAACAAGTGCA